CGTTTATAAAAAAGTCGAACGTTTTTAATTATTATCAGCTACTATATAATTCACTAAAATACAAACTCGTAAATAATCAAATCCATGATGTGCGGGATCATATAGAAGGTTCTAGAGATAATCTCTTTACCGGATCGTTAAAAAAGAAAATATAGGTAGTTAGGTTTAGCCGTATAGGAACCTAAGTCTATCATTTAACATTGCAATATTTTTTTATCATTTGTTCTCCGAAAGATTTGTTTTTTGCTAATCAGCGTTTAATTTGTACTGTAAAAAATACTTCAAGTTCTGGCTATTTTTTCAAAAAACCATTTTCAGTGTTTTTATGTTTGTATATAAATACATTTAAAAAACTCAACTTTTGTAACTCAGTAATAAGCCACGCAGTTATACTACCTTTCGTATTTTTATTTTCTATGAGTGAGCTACCACTGTCGTTAAATTTCTAGAAAAAAATGATTGGATATCCTGTAAGCAACGACTAACCATTGCTAACGAAAAAACAATTCTGAGCTGAGTTCAGTTGATAGTGTTGCTTTATCAACAATATGTATGTAATAATATGATAAATTAATTACATATAAATTATATATTTCCTTTAATAATATTTGTTTAACATTGTACCTATTTTCCTGTTTTTCCCCAATTGTTTCCAATTTATTATGAAAACTGAGAATATCAAAAAATTACCTCCTCCTAAAGTACCTCTCCAGTCAGATTTCCTTTCAGAAAAAGTACTATCATTGTAAATCTGAGCAAAATTGCTGGTAGAAAAGATGTTTACAGAAAAAAAAATAAACATCATTGTAAAACTCATACATTCCTTACTCTGCTCAGAATCTAAAAGGTAAAAAATAGTGCGCTACTTCCAACCATTGCTTATATAAGTAGATATACCAACTGGCAGAAAAAAACAACTCATCTAAAATAATATAATTACTGGTAAGAAGTTGTTTTTTTCTAAATTTAAATTGAATATTTTAAATTTTAAACTGTACCTTTATCAATATATTTATTCTTTGTCTTCACCTTTGTTCTATACGTGTGTGGGTTTTTGGGTAAACTACTCTTTTTATACAACTAATCCATCATCATTTATATATCATACTCTAGTATCTCTCCTAATGACCTCTAGTTTCTATTCGAATTTCCGGTAAAGGCAAAGGGCGGTCCGGTCATTTAAAATATTTTACTGGTCACCTCACTATATATAATACAAATACCCAAGAAGCGGAGGCACAAGTAATGTAATTTAAGTAAAAGAAGTTGATCCATATTTTAAATCTACTATGATATTTTTTATTATTATGTACATAATTATCTGTTAAAAATGCAAAACCGTGTGGAACCCGCGTTTTCATTTCGGCATTTCCTAATTTTCCATCATGATTTCATCTATAACACACGTTATCAATCATGAGGTAAACCACCGATCAAATAATTTAAATTTGTGTATTGTTATATTATAACATGTATGTATAATATATATTTTATATGTATACCTATTACAAGTGATCATATTATTGTTGGTACATAACACTGTTTTGTCAATGTTAAATTTTTTCTACAACTTACATACAGCCAATTGTGTACCCGATCCTACGTGCCTACGTATGCGACTATAACTGCAGCGTACCTACTGTTATATATTACGGTAGGTTTTTGATTTTAGGTATGTATACACGATGACAAACTCTGAGACGTTAGTACAATACTCGCGAATCGGACTGAAATAGACACCTCATCTGGGTACCTATAATTTAATAGGCGCGTGTATACAACGCTTTGCAGCAAGCCGTGATGAGGTTATTTATTACAGGTAGGTAGAAAGGTACCGTCCAAATGGATATTATTAATCATTAACGTGTTTATTAAGAGACAATAATAATTATTATTGTAGAAACGACGACGGCGTGAGTCGGAAATGTCTAAATAATGGAAAATTAAAATATATATAAATATCTATGTGCATAATATTATTACCTATGTAATATGTATACGAAAAATCAGAAAAGAAAACACCCAGAGATGGTCTATAATCTCGAATTAAAATACAATGGACCGCACTATAACTCGCACTGCACACGCGTGTATCGCATTGTATATTTATTATTATATATACGTTCTTCACACTAATTAATTAACGTCATTAATTAATAAAATATATATATACATATAATATAATGTATACATAAAGCAAGACTTTTAATTTCCAGTTGGGCCCGGAGGGCTTCAAAAAAAAAAAAAAAACGCCTTCTCGCCCGGCGCCTCCACGTCCGTAATGCACACGTACGGGATCAACAACACATTGTTATTATTATTGTTGTTATGTGACGTGACGTAAAATGGTTTTACAAAAGTACGCACTGAGAAACACCGCCGTCAATTAACAAAAAAAAAAACCGACTTGAAAAACAAAAAAAATAAAATATTTAAACAAAACGCCTGTGAGCAACGGAGCTCCGTTACATTATACTACTATAGAATCGAATTTTTTCCCGCCGGTTTTTTATTATAGAATTTATTATTTATATTCCGTGTAAAACAAATAATAAATAACCGACTACTATAATACTATATTATCATAATTATTATTCTTTAAAACAAAAAAACAAAAGCAAATGATGAAATTTGAGTATAATAAAAATACTATGAGCTGGGGTTGATAAAATTAAATCCTCAATAGGCACATCCTTAACACTATAAAGTAATGCGTATTATACAAATTTCATTCCTAGTTTATATAAAAGGGTAGGGGGTCTGCGGTGGTCTTCAAAGACTTGAAAACACTCCATCCCACAACACCACGTTGAAACTCATGTTGAAATTGAACATCAATTTCGTGGCTTCGAGGCACTTATAAAACCGATTTAAATTTTCTTTGTCTATGCGGAGCCACTTGAAGTATACAAAAATAACGGTTAATATTATTGTATTATTATTATTATTATTATTAATATTTAACACAGTAGACTGCAATAGTTTTTATTTTCGGGGAAAATTCGACTAAAAAATAAACGAAAACAAAAACAAAACGTTGAAAAAAATTATTTTAAGATTTTTTTTAAAATTCGTTGACTTGGGCACCATTGAATGTTAATATCTGTTTCAACGGTCAATATTGTTAATATTTCACCGAACTTTATTCAATTTTAATGAAAATTTAAAAAATATTGTTTTCATCTTTTTAGAGTTTTTTGTGTTTTAGTCAGTTAAATATTTTTAATTACTTAACAAAATGTGAATAACGTATAAATTTAAAACTTAATTTTTGCCCCTTCAAATTCAGATGTATTGCTCCTAAGAGTTGTAGTATTCATAGGCAATTCGCAGTACACATCTCGGTTATTTTGAGGTCTGAAAATACTATCTCACACCTCATATAGGCTACCCGAAATGCACCAACGTCACTCACGGTCATTCACTACCATTTATTTAATTTATCGAATTGGTAATATAAAATTATTATAGGTATATTCGAAGTTGATGCATATTTGACGGAATTATGCAGAATTAAGTTCTATTTAAAAGTAATTAATAATTTAATTTTGACGTTCCCTACCTATATGAGAGAAAACACGTCATAAACAATAACTACTTTACCAGTAATTAGATAATGAAACAAAAATTGAAAAACTAAAATATTTTGCCACCCCCTTGACAAATTCCTGCAGACGCCTTTGGGGATGTGGCTACTGTTGTAGGTAGGCAGTTGGAAAGGTGCGATACATATAGTTATTTATAAATTAAAAAACTATTACTGACGATAAAACATTGCTAACGAAAAACAATTCAGAGCGAAGTTCAATTATACACGTTTAAAAGGCCATATCCAAAAATTGATTTTAAAATTCTTATGAAAAAATTAAAAATAAAACAATACATTTATATATTTTTCACCAACAAAAACGGATTTATTATGAACCTTCTGTAAAATTGTCTGTAAAATTATAAAGCATTTTTGTTTAGTCTAAAAATTGTATCTACCGAACATCTATCAAATAAAAATTACGTAAAAAACTTGAAATAAAATATAAAATTAAATTAAATAATAAATAAATAAAATATATAGCAAAATAAAATTTAAATGTCTATAAAAAGCTTAAAAAGGCTCAAATGTTTAGCACATTGCATATAAAATCATAAATCTGTTTCTGTAAATATGGAAATTGTAGACATCTGAATGTAATAGATTCAGATATGAATCACATATAGACAGGCAAAAATTTCCTTTATTATTATAAATGAAAATAGTATTCAAGCAGATCTTTGAAAAGTCTGAAAAATTATAGGTGAACATGGCAAATAAGGTGGAAACTAAACTATAAGTTGAAACTGTTAGTGGCTATACACTCAAAAGTTAATACCAAAAAACCAAATTAAAATACTAAAATCATGATTAAAAATTGGTGAGTAGGGTTAGGAGGGTGAAAAATACTTAAAAACCTTTTTTCATAACTACCAAATATATAAAAAAAATTCATTAAAATTGGTTTCGGAGGACGGTGACCACAAACACGTGACATGAGAATTTTATAAAATTTACAAGTTTTAAACATTCAGTTAAATTTTATAAAGTTAAAGGTTATTTAAATATTATTTGCTCCATACCTAGGGCAAATTTAAAATGTCATAAAAAAAATATTCAATCTACTTAAATAGTAATATATTTTACTTTTATGCAATTGAATGGATAATTGCATATTGTCAAAGTAAACTAAATGCTTGACAAATTAAAATATCTTTTATGATCAATCAACTTAATTTGTTTTATATATGTATATTTTATACATATATTCAATACATAGGTAAAAAATACATCAATTTGCCTAGAGCAGGTTTACTCTATTATACCTTAACATACCAGCACACTTTCTTGAAAGTTGTTAACATTTTAAATAATTTTGAAAATTGTTTAGATTATTTAATATTTAAGTTATGAACAAAAAAAATTAAGCTACTGAAAATAAATAAGTACAAAAATGTAAAGATAAAATAACAGCATTATTTCAAATAATTAATTATTAGCTAATAAGATGAGCTTGACTTAATTTATCACTGATAAGATGATTGTTATAGAAACATGACATTTTTATTCTACGAGTGAAATGAAGAATTTTTTATAAGAATATTATTATTAAGGTTTGATAAAAATAGTAAATATTACTGCTTTTTAAGTCATGCATAGCCTATCTCCACTTATAATTGTTCTTAGTAGGCACTGATTAATCATTGCATACAAAAATAAATTAAATTCCACTCTAACATTGGGAAGGTAGGATCTTCCCAATGTTTCATCTACAACAGAGGCCCACCCATTGTGTGAAGTATAACGAGACTTTTTTTTAATATTAAAAAATAAATAATTAACCCTAATATTGTACAAGTCTATTATAATATAAGTTATATAATGTTATACATACAATATTATAAAATATTATAAAATCAATTTAAATGTATTTATAAACAAAATTAAATTAAATTGTTTATGGTAAATCACAAACATTATCAAAGAAAATTGAATATTGTTTATATATATTTTGACCTAATTTAAAATACATTATAATTTATTAGTACTCAATAATTTTTGCCATAGCCTAAGCCATTTTAATAAACATAATATGTTTATTTATCAACAAATATTAATAGTGTAATTTATTTGAAGACAATAAGAGTATTATTATTATCATACTAAACAAATTACATAAAGTTGTCCCAACATGGTTGACAAACAAATAATACAAAATATAAACATCATAAATTCAACATATAGTATTTTCTATTCTAAGCCAAATATGATAATCCACTTTCAAGTAAAATCAAAATTGAACAAAATATTTTTCAAATATTCACTATTCTAATCATAACCATTCAAATAGACAATTCAAATGTTTGATGGCCACTCTCTCAGTCTTAAGCATATAAGTTGCAGTACTAGAGGGAATGAGTATGTTTGATTTGTCTACAATTGTTATAACTAACTGTAACATATTAATAAATTTAAACAAACAATAATAGTAATAATAATAATAGTAATTACCATGTACGCGTATACGTAATTTATTTCGTGTTGTTATAAATATATTTAACAAATGAAAAGAAAGAGAGAGAGAGAAAAGACTACAACAATTTTAACAACAATAACGATTGACAATAAAATATAATAATAAAAATTAATACATAATAATAATTTTAAAACTAAAAAGTATATATTATACTTATATACTGTACATGCATATATATATATATATATATATATATATAAACACACATACAGTATTTATATATAATATTAATTTAAAACAATAACATTTTAAATAATATATAACCTACAACACCAAATATTTTCTGGATAAAATTTGCATGTCAACTACAACAATTGGGTATAGATATCTAGTATAATATATTTGTATAAATGTTCATAATTTTTCGCCCAGGATAGTGTCCAATAATAAAAAAAATTATGAATGGTATGTGGAGTGGGCATGGTATATTTAACAAAAATCAAAAAAAAAAAAAAATAATAATAATAATCACTACACTATAATATTTATTGTTATATAATTAATGTCCTACTTTTGGGCTATAATAATCAACGGGCTATACAAACTAAAAATATTATAATATAACCCTGAATGTTTGACATTTTGAAGAAATTGATCAGAAACCAGTGTGTAGTACACTACTCGCGGTGATATCACCTAAGACAGGCCTCTAACATTTCCACAAAGAGTTTGTTCATTTTGACACCACTGCCATTTCGGTTGCCAGCAACCGAGGACTGCCAACTATACCCAGTAGCTGTAGGGGTGGCTGTAGCACCTGTGTGATGGACACCAACTACTGCCGCAGTCTGCTGAGTTTGCACGCCGCCCACCACTTGCTCTTGTTGATTTTCTCGGTGCACCCGCGTCCAGTACTGCCGGATCAGTTGATCAGCCTGTCGAAGTGCTGGTAAGCACATGAGCATTTCGATTAGCTTGGATGAAGCGGACGTACCAAACTCGACACTGCCAGGATGAAAACTGTTGTTACCGCAGCAGGATGTACAGTAACAACAAGGCGGCGGAGTTGTGGTCATTTCGAGATGTGTTTGAAGAGCACGGGCGATGGTAGCGCGAAATTGATGAACAGCTGAAAGGGGAGGTGTACTGCCTTTCGGCAATGATCTGTTATTGGTACCATTGCCATGTTGTAGGTCAGTTGTTGTGGTTGTTGCTACAGATTCTGTTTCTGAGAGCGCTGCTGATGAAGATGAAGATGATGCTATTGTCAGATCGTCTGAATTGGCCAGGACTAATGCCTTGAGTAGGTAGTACTGATCTGCAGTTAAACCACAACCTCCATTCAAGGCCCTCAATTGTCGAACGATGTGAGCCGACTGAACATGTATCCCCGAAAAAAAGAAGAATAAAACTGATATTTTTGTTATCCTTTAATAATGAGGTTAAGTTAGGTTAGTTTTAGTATTTACTTTTCTAATAAAAGTATATTTTGTTTTGTTTTTATGGAATTTTAAAATAATTAATAAAACCAAAGAGTAATTATGTGTACAATGTCTACTTGTTCTCAAATTACAATTGGTTGATTATCTTTTAAACTCGGTTTGAAAATTAACATTTACATTGATGAGAACTGGCCTTAAAGTAATAGAACTATTTGAGGTTAAAAGTTAATCATGATTTATTAACATATGGATTTCACAACACACTAATCACAATTTTTTTTTGGTTAGACACTTAATTATTACTTATCACCTATTACCTATTAAATGATAAGTAATAATAATACTTTTGTTAATAATATAATTATATTTTATAATAGTCCAGAATTGTTTTTTGGTTATTATATTTTCTACAGCAAAAATCATTCTAGTGTTTAAATAAAATTGTAAAATATATTTTGTAAGTTCTTGATACAATTTTTTTTAAATACTAGACAAATTTTTGCAAGAGAAAATATAATAACCAAGTGTCAGACCAAAAAAAAAAAAAAATCAAAATATTTAAAAAAAGTTAAGACTATAATAAAATATATTTTAATAATATAATATTATTAACAAAAGTATTATTATTAATTATTACCAAAAGTAATTATGGGTACTACCTCTTAATAATAATCATATCAAAATATAAAATTGTTCAAGCAATAGTTACATATTAACACATATCAGGTAGGTAGGTACCTATATTATATTATTCATGACTAATATACTATAATTTATCTTCATAAGAGTATCATTTTAAATGCACTTTTAAAATAGAAAAAATAGAATATGTCCAAAATTTTCATCTTTTTCCTATTAAAATACATACAAATAATAAAATTTCTAGTCCTCTATCGGGTAGACAGCAAATTTAGCAGCAATTTTAACTGCAGTAATGTTTTAAATCAACTGATAAGCCAAGTATTTACACCTCATTAATTCTAACCTAAACCTAACCTACGTTATTGTGGTTAAACGGATTTAGTGAAATTCAAAATCTCCGATTAACTGTGTTAATTGTGATTAAGGTCTATTCACAGCGATTAACATTAGTTAGTGAAATCTGCTGTAAATAGGCAGTAAAATTAATCTCGCCTCAGTAATTTATTTGAATTAGAGTATAATACATTGCAGTTTTCAATTATAAATACAAAGTTTATGAAGTTAATGATAACCTCATAATAATTTAGGTATAAAAATAGGCATTAGATTTCAGATATCAGATCAAAACTAACCAAGTTATAAATGTCTAGTACGGTAGATGTTGCCGCTCCAGCTATACTGCTGGATGTACTGCCAGTAGTTGTTGTAATGGCCGCACTGGTATTACTCATCGAACAACACTCTTTGGCCAACTTGTCATCCAACCAATAGTCTGTGGCATATCGTAATTTTGGACTGCAAGTACTCTTCTCTTCGCCACCATCAACATTTTGATTATTGAACTGTTCCAGGGACCGGTATGCCATGGTTAATGTCAACAATTCTGCCCAAGTGGACTGCAATAAACGCATTTGGTCGTTGAGTGATAGGTCTGTAAATCCTGTGGATCATAAATACTTGGATAAGGTTTTGTCTTGCAATACTGGTTAAAGGAAATAAAACCCTTTGGCATAAATTTAATTTACATACATAATCATAATGAGTATAAGATTGATTTGTTCCATGGTTCCTATACACAAAACTTGGTATTGAATGACCCAGTAATTGTGGACTATTAGTTATTTTAAATATTTTTATAGGAGCATTTTCATGGTGTTATCAATAACAATATTGTTAACACTGATGACAAAACAATATTTGTTAAATTAATACAAAATAGTTTTATTATAATAGATATAAAGGTAAAGAAATTATTATTATTCAATTTTACTGGGTATTTAACTCACAATTATTTATTTTTGTTTAAGATTAATATTTATTTTTTTATTTTATATGATTTAATATTACAAGCATAGCTATTAATGTTATTTCTCACTTCAATTTATTTAAATGTCTGCGGTTCAAAAATAAAAACCAAAATTTAAGATTAGATTAAAGATTATTTTGTTTTTCTATAAGATGATTCATAATAATAATAGAGTACCATACCAAACATTGAGATTTTGTGATTTGGTTAGTTTATAATTAAGTTAACTCTTTCGTAAGAAAAAAAAAAGAAGCATCATTTAAAAGTTTAGCACTGGGATTCATATTACATCTTAATTAGGACTTGTTTATACTATATTAAAATGCCAGTGATATTGTGTTTTTTTTTTTTTTAGTGATATTAATTAACAGTTATACATATATAGTATACTTCACATATTTAAATATTATATAATAGTACACCTATATTAATTAACACGCACCAGGTATCTGCTTGGCCCAGCCAATAGTGCTCACCAGCTCCCTATCATAAAGTTCAGCTAAAGTGTGCACCACCATTGAAGCAGCAGAAGTTGGTAATGATACTGTTGAAGATGATGACGGTGAAGATGTTGATGATATGACATCCTCAATTAAACCACTGCCATTACTGGCCACAACTGTGCTTGGTGCTTGTGGCCTTATACTCATGGTAGTAGACTGTGTGAAAAAGTCCATTGTAACAACAGCATTAGTCGACCCATCTCCACCACCCAACAGTGTTGGCATCTCTGGCTCACATTGCCTTAGTGCTTCCAACATTTTTCCTAAGAGTAAAATGTATTACAAATTTTTATACATCAATAACTATACTAATATTATAATACTCACCACATTCCCTTATTGCATCAGTTGATGCAGCTTGTTTGATGCACATACTATCTTCATTATTGTTGTTCCAACCTCCTGTTCCACCTACATTGTTATTGTGTGACATATTATGGTAATTGTTTGGGGTAGTCATTTTGGTGTTGTTGAAAACATTATTAAATGATTGTTGTTGGCCTTGTTGCTGCTGGTGTAGAGATTGCTGTGTAGGTTGTACGACAGAAATTGAAGTGACTGCAATAGGAGTAGATGTTTGTCTGCGATATTTTTGACGTCCACCACGTACCCTATCAAGACGCACCCCCTCTTTCAGCATTCCTGTTCTCAAACATTTCTGCATCCGACATGCCTGGCACGCTTTCCGCCTCCTCTTGTTAATTTCACAGTCTCCATTTGCAGGACAAGAGTATTCGATGTTACCTTTATAATAAAATAAAATAATAATAGTAATCGATGACCAGTATTATTATTATTACTTATTACTATTCACTACCATTATTTATCATATATGCTATGACAAAATATTATAATGGAATAATAGGTAATATCTTAATCATAGAAAAAAAATTAGACCCATAGGTATTTGTAGGCACTTTAATTTTATTGGTGAGAACTATTATCTATAGTAAGGTTACTTGACTTTCATACAACTTATTTGTATTTATAAAAATACAAACTACAAACCCTGTATGGTGCGTTTGAAGAATGCTTTGCATGCTTCACATGATGCTACACCATAGTGAAAACCTGAGGCAACATCCCCGCAAACCAGACATAATCGCCGTGGTGGTGGTTTATCCTGTAAAAATAAAAATGACACTAAATTAAGTTATACTTAAAAAAATTTCTTGTGAAAACAATAAAAAACTGTTCTAATAATGTTTGGAAAAAACAGTATTATTATATTTTATTGTTTTAGTTTTATTTTATATACAATACAAATACTGTCTAATTATTTTTGTTGCATATGCCATAGTTGTTCTTGACTATATTTTTATTTTCTTCATAGATGAAAATTTCTTTTACATATATTAGAACTAATAAGAAGTGTTAAGGAGAGTAGGAACATTTGATATGAGTTATAAAATATTTGAAGTGAAATATTCTTTTTCATATCTTTAATATCATCTTTATTAAATTTAACATAATAATTTTTAACAACCATCATTTATGCTTTTAGATTATATTAGCAAATATTAAAGCTTGGTAAATACTAATAAGTAAATATTTACTTTATAGTGAAATAAAATAATTGAGTACTAAAATGTATAAATTATTAATATTTAAGTCATTTAAATAATTTGAATATATTTGAACACTCAATTTTTACTAATGTATAATGTATATGGATATGAGGGGATATGACTAATATTCAATTTCAATACATATATGATTTCACCGTTATGCAAAAAGTGAATTTTTACCTTTGTTGGTTTCATTTTTACAGTTATATTTAAAATTAATACTTGATCTAAATATAACAACCTATGTATTTTAAAATTTTAATTATTTGTTTTTTCTCTACTTGAAGGAAATATTTAGATGTATAATTATTTATTTCGCTTGGTAACTTTTTGCATGAGGATACTTATGTATATATCATTTTGGGGCACTCGATGATACTATATGATACTATTATATCATATCACATGTGTTATTAGTTTTTTATGGGTAAAGAAAATTACCAGTATACAAAAAAATGGTTGGATAAAAGGGACATTAAAAAAATAATGTGTACCCAAAGCAGCAAAGTCCTAAACACACCACCAACTATGAGCAACACAATGAGTAAAGATTGTATGTTGAAATTAAGTTTTATCTTTAACTGAACTATATGATATTTCTGCTCTCATATAGTCAGTGAAATAATTTATGGATTTAATTTACATGTCTGGAAATAATTTTAAAAGTGGTCATTAAAAACTTAAGTTTCCTATTTGCACAGAACAGCCATCATGGTATCTGTTCATCTTCATAAAACCTAAAAAAAAGTGTTCAAAAATATACAAATCAATAAAAACAATTTTTATTTAGTTTTTGATATTTTTTTACTGTGGTTCAACATTCAATACACATTATATAAGATATCCACATAGAAAATGTCTTATGCAATTGAATATTTGAATATCTAATGTTATTTGCAAGTATATCAATCTTGTGAGAAGTGTAGTTTTTTTTTTTTGTATACTTGAAAACTTTATAAATGCTTGTACAATAAAACTGATTGGCTTCCTTAAATTTCCTAAACGATAACAATTATTTAGTTAATAAGCAATTAATAATTTACAATGTTGTTCTGTTTTTTAATAAATAATAATTGAGTCCTATTTTTTAAATTAATAATTAATCCTATTTAGTTATTAGCTAAATATTTCATAGTAACAATATAGTTTTATATTATAATGTTCTGACTATGTGAGTAGTAGTTTTAAAATATTAAAATCTATAAATCTACATAACTATCAATATAATAAATAAATAATAAGTTTGTTACTGATAAAAACATTTAATCTTATTTAATTTTATTGCCTACCTATACAATAAGATACAAATTTTATCTGTTAAATCTTAATTATGGAAATTAAAGAATATTTGGGTTCTTTTTAAATATATTTTTCTAGAGACACATTTAAAGACACTATAAGCTATTTAACAGATAATTTTCACATTTTTATTAAAATGTAATGATGGTATTTTCATACTGACAAGAAGTAAAATAATAAAAGATACTTTTTTCTGACAAATTAAGTAACATGATTAAATTATAATTTAGATACCTTTAGTAGGTAAAGCCGGTACAGGTAATTTTGGACCAGACTGCAAAGTGTCATTGTCTAATTCTTCTTCTTAGCCTTATCCCACCCAGGTCTAATTTTGAGTTAAAACCACTAAAACATTGTAGGGTCCATTAGATTTGGCAGTATAAAAATATTATTTTTTTTTTTGCTTTTTGTTGATACAATATTTTAATTAGCCGTCTAAAAGGCAAACATTACAACGTTCATTAGTTTATTTCAGCCAAGTAATATTTGTTACGTGTATATTATAATTTATATTAAATTATATCTTACTTAATTAGAAGTCACTGATGATATTTCTTCAGTTTTTTTTTTCAAATTTAAATAGGTAGGTACATAAAAATACATTAGAATTCATTAATATTTTAAGTAGGTACTTGTGCACTTCACACAGTTAATCACTGTAAATGAATTATTATATGTACCTAATAGTAAATAATAATTAAATATTTATTTTTTTGATTTCAAACAATACTCACACAACTATTAATGTCTGTAAGTACAAAATAATGACCCCACTGACAAACGGCGGACTAATGAATTATTATCTCTCGCTAATTTACAAACAATTGGGGATTAAACTCGGGTAGTAGGTAATCAATAATAAAGGGCAGGATACAGGTGTACGGCTTGGCGACTATTTTGTCAACGATGTGTGGGGACAGGGGGGCACGTAAGGGCACAGTTTTCGAATTATTATTATATTTTTTTTTTTTTCCGTAATATATTAAATACTTAGATACACTTGGAAGGCACCTGTCGTCGATAATACTCACATCGTCGATTCCGTTGGCGTCGTGATGCTGCAGCTGGTGGTCCGGCTGGAGATGCAGCAAGTGAATTTTGTTGTCATCGTCCTCATCCATAATTGTACATTCTTTCTTGACGTAAATCATCGTCGTGGTCGTCGCCTCGCCAACTCCGCCGCCGCCGGTCCCATCGTACACATTATATTCGTCGTTCAACCTGACGACGTTCCCGCGATGCATAAGGCCGTCCGTCCGTTCTTAGCGATTTGCCGACCGTGCAGCGTGCGGCGACTGCGGTCCCGGGTCCGTAATTATTGTACAGACGGCGTTATTATTATTATTATTATTTTTTTTCTTGGATAGCACACGGGTAGCTAGTCGTGTAGTAGCGCGACTAGCGAAATAATATTAAGAAAAAAAAAAAATAAAAAAAATACTTGATATTATCATCGGTCGTGTGTGTGTGTGTGTGTGTGTATGGTGTGTGCGCGCGCGCGCGCGCGCGCCTCGTCCTATACGTTTCGGTAACATGTGTGCGGCTCGTGTGCGTGTGTGCGCGCTCCTCAGTCCCCCGCCGCCCTTCCCGCGAACGTATCTACGACTCCCACCCCTCCTTTCCGCCGTAATAGAATATGCGGCCCCGGCGTTCTAAGAGGCGCGTGTCCGTGCGCGTGTGTACGCGTGTGCCGCCGCGACGGAGGCTATGATAATGAGTTGTCGACGCGGGCGCACGCGCAACATCATTCAGCTCGCCAGACTATTACTCGGATACAACTCGCGGAATAGTAAAAAAAAAATAATAATAATAATAATAATAATATTATAATGCGATGATAAAAATATTATTATCTACGCGCCGTTCGGCGGCGGCGGCGGCGGCGTTGGGTAGCGCGCGACGAGAGTCGCGCGGGGGAGGAGGAGGAGGCGGAGTAGACCGAAATCAGCGTTGGCGCGACCGTATATAAAATTATCGTGGATTTAAATAATGACGCGACGGGCGGTATTACGCAAAGAGTCGGGTAATAATTTCTACGTTTCGTCGCCGAGTCCCGAAAAAAACCGTCGGCGTCTCTCCCCATCGTAAATCGAGGGGCTGAGTCAGCTAGTGGCGTCACTAAAACTACTAATGCGTCGGCCCGGAGCCGACCATGTCTCGAGCACTGGCTTGGAGCCCCTAAACATCATAGGCCCTTGATGGCGTTAGCGCACCTTGCCCATACGGTATTTGCGCCACCAGATTGAGTTCGACGAATTGGTAACAAATTTGGATTCGGGACCCTTCGAAACATAGTTGTGTGATTCGGTGTGAAATACGCGAACGTAAAACACTATCCACTGCCCTCCGTACCCCCCCCCCCCGAATTAAGGGACTCGTTGCAAAACTTGTATAAAATTCGGATTCCTGGTATGTTGTATTCAATAATAATTATATTGATTTTTAGAAGTTTGACAGGGTATTAATTTTACGTAAGATAATTAATATATTAGGTATGCATTTCCGACCACTGGCCGTTGGCTGAGTCGTCATGGAGCCAACGATTTGTTTTACGCGAAAAATTAAAAAAAAACAAAACAAAACGAAACAAATTCTTTCGTAAATCTAAATAAATCGTGGGTGCTGACGAGCCGAATCGCGTAATATCAATAAGAATAAAAACAAAATATAAACCAGAGGAATCCGGACGGACGCACGTGACGTCGTATTCGACATGCGTAGGTATATTCTAGCTCTGAGCCACGGTCCATGCCAGAATAGATTTCAAAACTTCGAGTCGCGCACAAGACAGAAACAAAATGCATTATTACGTTATCGTCTTAAATAATAATTATAGTCGGTACCTATAATGAACTAGTAATGATTAATCGAAAATCCTGGGGAAAATATCGATTCTCGTTTGTACCCAACCCACGGAAAAAAACGAAATCCGGCTCCTCCAAATCGAGGCGGTGCGCGACAACAGCAGCTATAACCGAAAGTCCGCCAAGCGGTCTGTGTGTTAAAAAAATGTTGGGAAACACTGATGTACATGTACCTACCTATAGCACAAGTTCCGTAAATTATTATTATTTTTTTATTCTTGCGCAATAATATATTTTACTACCTATGCACACGTCGCAGGGTGACCGTTTTCAACAAGTTAAATTTCGTTCGAAAGTACAAGAACTGACTATAAAAATATATAGATAACTAGGCAATAATATTGTACAATAATTACCTTCTAATTAAATGTAATTACCTGGCACTTGCACACGTAAACTGCGCGTGTTCAGCGGTCTTTTGAATTCGTAATTTATTTATTTATTTATTGTTAATTTAAACGGACTAAATTCCCAATACTCGGGCTTACAAACATGCGTGTAATAATAATGAAACGAATTTCAGAAACTGGAGTAATCGAAAAACAAATAAAATTAATAGTACAATATTAATGAATATAATAAAAACATAACTACTGATAATATCTAATAATATAATTACAAAACGACTCAATAGAATTAAAATTAAATAAATAAATTCGGGTATCATTAGCTAATCTCGTAGATCTAATCAAAGGAGTATTTATAGCATAGGTAGTTATTTATATGCAATTGTGTATATGAAAATTGAAAAGTATAATAAGTAGACCTAGTTATTCGTTGAGGGACATAAAAATGTACAGAATTAAGTCATTATGAATAGTTCACGTAGCCATTGACCAATCTAAACAAGAATTTTAAACAAAATATTTTTCTTCGAACAACAAAGCTGCTCATATGTTACTAGTGTGTCTAATAACGAATTGTATGGTGAATGAGGTAAACGTGGAGTACTACATTTGTAAGATGTAAAACGAAGGAAACGATTCTGAATAGATCCGACGCACTGCATATGAATATTAACAGAAAGCGACCAGAGTATAGAATTATATTCAAGAGTAGAACGTATTAGTACTAGTATTAGTATACTAATACTAATAAAATAAGTTATACTCGAAAACTGGATAGGAAATCCATGCAAGAGTATTTTTTGTAAGTTTTAATAGTTTCAAAGTGGGCACGTGTACCACCCTCTTCCCGATTGGCGTCCATAGAGCGAGAAAATCTGGTTCCGTCCAGTTCAGTTTAGTCTCGCATGTTTAGTATGTTCATATAGTATGTGAATTATACATTATATTATTAGCTATGTGTGTTATATCATGCCATTATGACCAATCGCCCAAGTATGATTGCTCTGTTATTCAATTTTCCAAATTTTTCCAAGATGAAGCGACAGCTCAGAATATCGTGCATCGAGTACATAGACGCAAATAATAGCCCAAATATTTGGAGGGGGCGCCTGAAGTAAGGGGTTAATTATTGTTCAATAACTAATCATTTTCTTCTCCCTTATCTTCAAAAAATAATTTGACAAATTTGAACATTTAATAAAGTCAGCTTTATTGCAGTTTTTTGCTCGAAAGAAAAAAAAAGTAATAATAAAAAATATATTTTAATATTTAAATATTGCACATATTGTACATTGTATATTCTTATATAAGATAACTTTTGTTAATACAGTTTAATAAATACACAAGTTATCACATTTATTTGAATGCAATTTATAAACATTACTATGAAATAAATCCCACGTAGGTTTTTTCTTTTTTTTCTTTGTGAACAGTTTTTCTCCCAGAAATTTTGTTCCGATGTATAGAGTATAGTACCTTTTCTGAAAAGAAATTTTGTCTAGTTTGTGCAGTAAAATGTCATTTTTTTGATTTTCAAAATAACTGAGAAATACCCGAAAGAAAATTATAGGTAAAAAGGCAAATGTTTTCTATACACACCGCAGCATTGCCTTTTTCATAGTTTTTAAATTTTTGTTTACGATTTTTTCTACCAGAAATATTGCTCACCATCGGGCAATATTTCCCTTCAATCGAAAGTGCAGTGTGGAATTAAAAAAGTATGCAGCAGTTATATTATGATATTTATTTATATTCGTTTTTAATTTTATATTATTGTATGATTCCATTGCGGGGGAGGAATGTGATAGGAATGTGAGGAATTTGATATAAAGTGTGCAGTACGAAAAAGGATACATTTTAGCTTCTGCAGTGTAAACTACGTATGCATGGAGTATGTTATACTTTTGATTTATATCGCGCAGTGTAAAAATCATAAAAAGTATGAAAAAAAAACGAATAGATTAACAGACACCTGCTTAGGCGTTAATGATTTGTTTTACATCATTTTATGTACACGGTTATTAAAATTTATTATAACCGATTATAATTTTTTTTCTTCTCATTAATTATAAATGTATTATATATAGGTATAATCTATTTGAAAATGTAACAATATAAGTAAATCACTTATTATTATCGTGTTATTGATAAAACCGTGTTGATTTATACAATTATAATAAAATATTATTATATCTATACATATAATATACATACATAGTTGTATTTCATTGTGTTTATATTATTATAACCGTAATTGATAATAGATACATCTAAGTATATACCATTTGTTATACAGGCAGTAGACACCTTAAATAATATGTATGTGTTTTAAATTAATTTAGGATTTATTTTTTTTTAATGTTTAACCGACAACAAAATATAATGCGTACACAAAATAAACTATATCTTTTTATTTTATTGTTTTTCTCATAAACCAATATCGAGCGGTTTCGCGATAAATTTATACCATTATAATATTAGCATAACATATACATACATACATTATTAATATGATATTTATTTATTTTTTTTGTTTATCTGTAAACCACTTTGATACCAGCGATTTTACACCGATTTTCAACTATAGCAATTTTCTGAAAGAAAACCTAACCGAAATTTAAGGAGATCATTTTTTAATTTTCTCAGCTGTTTTTACAATAAATGGGAAACAACGTAGGAAAAATGGGAAAATAGGTACAATATTAAACAAATATTATTAAAGAAAATATGTAATGTATCTATATGTGGTTATTTTACCCATAATATGACATATTATATATTGTTAACAAGTCAACACTATTAACCGAACGCCGCTCAGAATCGTTTTTCGTTAGCAATGGTTAATCGTTGCGTACAGACATACATTTAACTTCCCCCTACCTTCCCAATTTCTCATCTACAACAGAAACCCATCTATGGTGCGAAATATTTCAATAAATGTTCTTAAAACGTACGTAATATTATTATGTATTTATTTGGCCTCCAAAAACAGTATTTTTATTGTAGCGAGTGTCACTGCGTTTCGTGTTAAGAGAATTTAGAATGCAATTTATACCGTGTCGGTAGGTATATTTAAATTGATGTATTATGTTTCGGGTTTGCGACAATTAGTTTTTATTAAAACATATCTGCGATGCGGCCCTGTGTATCAGAATATACGACACTAATAATATTATTATATTATTATGATTGAGGACTTAAATTGACCACAAATGATAATGGGAAAAATCTGGATTGAGGACTTAAATTGACGACAAATGATA